CACTACAAATGCTTTTTATTTCATTAGGATAACAGCTAGGAAGTATAATAACCGAAACCGCTCTCTGCACCTGTCGACAAGCCAAACATGATGCGGGACAATTACAATAATTACCGCCGTGCCAGTAACGCCTATTAAAAGAACCAGAAACAAATATCAGTACACCAGACAGCACTCTTCAATCGGAAATATTTGTAAATTTACTTGAAGGATGTAGCTCATAAATTGCGTAACACTTTAAGGGGTGACGTTCTTGTAAAGGTATATATAAGATAGGGACGAATTCAGCTCATGGATCCACAAGATTTATGTCTATTCGTGTTTTTGGAAAAAGTATTGTTACTCGACGCTGTAAAATTGGCGACACATTTTTATAATGTGCGTGGTACATTCTGCGAATTTTACAGATATAAAAATGTGAATTTCATTGTTGGAAGAGCTTGGAAAATGTTTGGGTGCAATGTTCGTGCAAAAGCCTTGAGGTACCGATATGATGGAGTGCTAGGAAGATTGCCGGACCACCGGAGTAATGTCTGCACTAATAGCAGTGATTACCCTGCCTTGTTGGAATTGAACCCGCCTGTTGATGCTGGTCAGCTTGTTCCTCGGGTTCTGTTCTCCAGTGCACTCGCCCAGCCCACAAATTGATGGATGTTTACCAAACTAACTGCCTTCTCAACGCTATATTTGCCGTTGCCCCTTGGTCATGAGCTACCATAGCCATTCAATTTACATCATCTCTTTTCAATAATACATTTTTCAGGTTTATGAATTCTTGCGCATTTCTAAAATGAGAATTTCTCAATCTCTGTGTGAATTTTAAATGTTTTTTTATTAGCAGTAGATTGCATTTAAAGAAAGAGGAAATCTGAAAATTGAGCTCAATTTACATCAGCTGGTAATGGAGTGAGTCGAATTGCAAGATTAAAATCAGTAACAGACATAAAACTGAGGAGAAAAATATTAATGAATTTGCGGCGACTGTATTTTAAGTTAAACTGATGGGTATGAGTATAAACACGGAGTAATAATTATAGTTGCATTATTATAACGTCACCAGCAATACATCAAGCTGACATCATACATATGCATTGCATAAAAAAGAAGGGCACAATATTAAGCCGCGAGCTGGTGAGTTTTAACGTCAACGCCCCCTGTCATTTTTCTCTACCCCTTTTTCAATTTGCCCGAGCCTCTCCTTTCCTTTATTCTTTTTTTCCACTTTTATACGCGTGCCAGGGAGATACTATCAATTTTTATTTTCAATGAATTTTGTATCCGTGTATATTATTAAATGAATATGTCTTGAGGTTCGTATATCGCTACAAAAATAAGAAAATGTTTTCAATTTTTCTTTTCTCCTACTATACGTAACAGTTTAATTTTATGCTAACCTATTGCAACCTTGAATCGCATATACTTGTGTAAATTGAAATAGCAGTTGGTTAGTTTTCGAAAGTTTAAAGTTGGCAACGTCGTAGACCACCTGTCCGCTTAATCCTGAATATAATATCCCACATGAGTACGCGAGGATGCCAACTGTGTGTATCTTCGATGATCATATATGCCAGAAACGATGTGACGAGGGACTGCGGCGCCAGCAGGCTCCATAAAAATGCGGTCCAACTGATATGAGTTGATCCGCAGTTTAATGTTTTCCCTCGTTTAACTCTGAAATATTTAATTGGCAAACGTTCCGTTATAGACATTCCGTGACATCTCTGTCAACATATTGAAAATAATATTCCAATTGCAAATATCCGCGGAATCGTTATTCCTAATTGAAAAATGCCGCAAGTTTTGCAATAATAGACATAACGAGCTGAATACAGTTCTCATTTTGCATAAAAGCAAGACTTGTCAGTCTTCTATTTTGCCACACACGTCGATTGCTCTCAATAATCCCACTTTTAATCTCGTACTTGAAAAAAAGTTTCTTTATCAACAAAAAATAAACGTCAGAAACGTTTAGAAATGCAAAAAGGCATACACTTGCAGAGATAAATAGTTTGATGCTCATTTTTTTATACATATATTTGATGCTTAATGCTTTTCAACAACTATCGGTAATACGGCATTCTATCGAATATAAGTATACGCACGGCCAAGAGGAGGCCCGTGTAAACGATAAATCACGATAAATACGTTTGCCTGAACCATTATAAAAGCAAAGGAAGGATACTGCGATTCGTCCAGGACTAAGAGAAAGCAAAATAAACAAGAGAAGAGATATACCAACATAAAGAGAAAATCAGGTTCGGTTTAGAGAAAAAAATTCCATTATTAAAATCGACAATATAATTTACAAACAACTTGTTCTACTCAAATTTCTTTCTCTATTAATAAAAGAATAAGTTATGAAAATTTAAAAACAGACTCCATAAAAATACTATCTGATTACACGCAAAAATATCAGTTATTCTGGAACTATGTAGACTAGATCAGAATGGAACCAAAATATTGAGGACGCTTTTACCAGATAATATTGATAATTATAATAAAATTTTTTAAAGTTTCATTATAAATGTGAACTGCCGTGCCGGCCCTGTAAGGAACCAAATGCATTCTCTCCTGGGGCTACTCTTGTGCATCTCCTGAGTACATATTACGATCGCTTAAGTCTCGACTCGACTATCGAGTGATCCATCGCTAGAATTCTACGAAGATACCACCCATCCCTGCAGATATATTTTCAACTAATGAGAGTCTCTCGAAGAACCTTCGTGCTTATTACAAATAAAGCGCACGCGTCAAGTAACCTAATGAATAACAGTCTTTTAGATTCGCAATAATTTCGAGAAAGCAGCCACAATTTACGACCATTTATATTGACTTTTATTAGAGAAATATTCTAATCATCCCACACATGTTACAATATTAATTGTCATCCTTCTTGAAGGAATTTCAAGATCAAGAACTCGGTAATTCCGTTAAAGTAGTCCAAGCGATTTTTCCTGAATATTTAGGTGATTACTAAATGCATTCCTGGGCGCTTGTCTATCCGCGAGATGTCTTGTGTATGTGTGCGTGTGTGTGTGTGTGTGTGTCGAGAAAAGGAGAGAAACTTAGAACGGGAGTAAGAGAGAAGAGTTGAGACGAGACGAGAGGGAGAGAGAACAAGTGAACGAAGTCAAGCAGAGCGAGAGAAAGAGATAAAACTAGGTAGGTAGACATTCGGGCCCCGCGGGGGGCTCATAATTGCCGACCCTGAGGATCAGCCGGCCCCATGGGGCCCACCTCTGTTTGTTTTATTCCCTAGTTATACAAACGCGAGATCTACGACCGATATATGATAATCGTCTCCCTGCTTCCACCTTCTTCATCCAAGCTTCTCGTCTCTCATCTTCTCTGTGCTCTGCTATACCACGACCACCTCTACGAAAAGCGGATATTCAGCTACACGATTAACTTACTCGTACCTCAATATTTTCTCTTCACAAGTTTCAACAAGAATTTTCTCAAATTCAAATATTAACGTGATTTAACAAAATTAAATTTTAAACTACTAACAAAAAGTATTATTGATAATAATTAAACCAAAACACCTACACACGTTTGTATATGCATATAGGACTCCGTACCGTATAAATTCGCAACGAATGCATATAAGACTCGTCAATCAATCAATATTATTTTCACGAATTCGTTATGTCTTAAATCGGCTTATTATTTACTTCTTGTTATAAAAGACAGGCCCATCCGAATAGGAGCTTTCGGCACGTCTCATCATTTATGGATCGCATTTATTCAAATTCCGGACTTGGCTCGCATGATTAATTTTCTACCATTATTCTTATATAGCTACCAAGGGCTGATGACGAAGTCACAGATTTCTTTATACCTGTATTATAGTAGTTGGAACAGAACTGGTGTCTTATCGAAAAAGAATAACGGTTTGCCAATCTTGCTTGAGGGATCTAATTAAAATACTTCTGGGAATTGAAAATGTTTAAATTTGATTACATCTATTGAGCGAGTGATTCTCGATGGATTATACGTCCTTTCAAAATCGTTAATAAAGTATAATAAAGTATTTCAGGTAAAACTAGAGATATCTCTCATATATATATATATATATATATATATATATAGACTTATCTTATTTCCGTTACATTTTCTTGTTTTCTGGCAAGATTAAGCGCAGTCGAAATTAAGTTAAATGAAAAATTATAAATTTGGATTATTCTTCCTCAAAAGTCACAGTCAAAAATTAAAAGTTATTGGATTGGTTTTAAAATTTGTTAAATTGTTATCCTATATGAGAGAAACATTTCACCTTTGCAATAAGAAGAAAAAAAATGAATTCCCCAATTCAAAAATTCATCTTTGAAAATAGAGCGGTTAAAAGTTTTGTTCGAAAAAAAGTTTTTTTGACATTGAAAAGTACATAAAAAATGTTTTAAAATTCTCAAAATATTGACATAATTATTTAAAAATGATAGCGTCATTTAATTGAATGAATCAGAATTCATCGTTATGGGTAAATTCTCAAAATCTGTTTTGCATCGTTCATTGAATATTGACAAATTTTTAAATCTCTATGTTAAAAATAATCAGCTTTTAGTAAATAGTATTCAACTTAGTAGAAGAGAAGTAGAACTTGCTTGATAAGAACTTCATTAATACTTTTCATTAGTTATGCATTCTCCATAAGGCGACACAGTGATAAAAAGTCACCATTTGTCAAAGAGATAACTTTGAAAGCAACAGGTTGCTCCAAATGCCTTCGTTTTAGAACTTTAACAGGTACCTATCTAAATGAGCAGAGAACATAGCAAGAATAATTATTTACTAAGATAAAAGCTTGACAGTTACTAATTCAGTCGAATTTTATTTTTTTAATGACATCTGTTTTTTTATATTATTTATAAAAACTGATTTAAATACTCATTTTGCATTATCAATTAACTGCTCTATCTATCTCTCTCCTTTTAAGGTTTTAAAGATTTCTCTAATTAAATATTAAATAAATAAAATATAAAAAAAAGAACAGGTCTTACCTCACTATCCATTTTCATATACTCGACGTCGTCCTCGTCCACTTCAAAGTACAGTTCGGTTGATGTTATTGACATGACACCTGGTGCTACAATTCCTGGCGCTATCAACTTAGCCTTTGCAGTAATATTTACAGGACCTACAAAAAAATTCAAATTTTTAGAGATAAATAGATATTATAAATATTTTAAATGTTTTAAAACTTCTTTCTTGTTAGACAGTTCTGTGAAAATCTATGGTATTGAAAATTCCATGTGATATTTTCATTGAAAAATTCATAAATAACTTTTCCTCCTTTCAATAATAAAGCAATTTATAATTAGTTGTTGAAAAGTTTGTTTAAATTAAAATTAAATTTACGTTGTAATTAATATTAGTACTTGATTATTCCTACCAGTGAGATCATTATCCAAGTCCCTGTCGTCAACTAGAAGTTCATTATCGTCCAAAAGATCTGGAGATTGTAGCTGTTGTTGATATGCACGCGAAGCAGCTAAGTGAGCATGAAACTCTTCGCGTGCTTGGAGAATAGCGTCTTCCGGTGCTCCATGTTCCAAGGCAGCTTTCAGCGTTGCTTCGGGATGACTAGAGCCCAGAGGATTGTGCACGAAACGTCTCCGACGACGAGTGTCGTCCTCCCAGGTATCCAATTTCCAATATTCTGTCAATCTAAATTTCACATTTATTACAGAATTAGTGCAAACTGAATGACATTTGTGACATTAATCAATTTTAAATTCCAATCTTCCGAGTAAGTTTCCATAAATTCCAGATTTCAGAAATAGATTTTTTTAAAACAAATTCAATATATTTAAACTTACTTGGCAGCCATTGGATCCATATAACCCCAAGCACCATGTTTATTTGTAAGAATATTGCGAACTTTTTCCAAAATACGACTAGCCATTACATTATCTCTTCTTCGGGATGCTGTTATCAAATGATCACATTTTCTCTCTTCCTCGCGCCGATCCAATAGGGTTTGAGCGCAATGAGACTAAACAATAATAAAAAATGATATTGTTTTAGTAGAAATAAAAACTTTACATCAGTAAAAAAAGGAAACTGTCCTTTCGGGTTAATTTATAACACGCAAATTGTACATTTGACAAAAAGTAAAATATTGTTTGGATATTATTAATATTATTAATAAATATTATTTATCAAATTTTTAAAAATGGTGAAAAATTTTTTTATCTATATAGAAACATGTTATATGAGATCCTGATCAATTATCCGGATGTATGTATGTATGTATGTGTGTGTGGATCGTTTTTGTGAACACGATATCTTTAACAGGTTTTAATGGATTTGGGTAAAATTTGGTAGACTTATTTATCACATTAATCTCTTAAAAATGACGAGAGGATTTTTAAAAATACCCCCCAAAAAAAATGTTATCGTCTTTTTTCCAATTTTTTTTTTTTAATTGAAAAAATGTTTAAATAGAAAATTTTAAGGTTATACAGTAAGATTATTTGACTATGAATCACCCCCAATATAGTGTTAAAGTTTATGAAGACTTTAGTATATTTAAATTTAGAAATATGCAACCCGGTTTACAGAGAAGTTTGAAAAAAACATTGAACAGGAGTCATTTTTAAATTTGCCGCTTGAAATTGGATGCGCGCGATGATTTAAGTCATCACGTGATAGCAGAAAAGGCAAGTTGGAAACCATTTTGGTTATACGAAATCAAAACATAACCCCAAATAATCATCGTATTTGACATTATTAATAAAAAACAAATAGAAATAAAAAATAAATAGTCATTAAAAGATTATAATAATGATAAAAAAGTTAAAATAAAAATTTAGTGAAAAAGTGTTTGGCAATTTTATCTACATAGTGTGATGTGGAAGAGAAATATTATGTGTCTGAAACAATGTTTGTCGGAATTATTTATTGAAAAAAAATTTTTTGATTGAAAAATGGATAAACTCTAAAGAATTTGATTAAAAATTAGTATAAAGTGAACAGTGTCACAAGGTATTCTACAAGAAATTTTGACCTAATTCACAATAAATAATTTATTTATTCGAAAACAACGAAAAAAATACGGTTAAAAACTACACAACTGAAATTATGAATTAATCATTTACTTGCTGATTTGAAAGAATACAATCGGACTCTATTTTATGATAAATAAATAAATAATTCCGACAAACATTGTTTCAGACACATAATATTTCTCTTCCACATCACACTGTGTAGATAAAATTGCCAAACACTTTTTCACTAAATTTTTATTTTTAACTTTTTTATCATTATTATAATCTTTTAATGACTATTTATTTTTTATTTCTATTTGTTTTTTATTAATAATGTCAAATACGATGATTATTTGGGGTTATGTTTTGATTTCGTATAACCAAAATGGTTTCCAACTTGCCTTTTCTGCTATCACGTGATGACTTAAATCATCGCGCGCATCCAATTTCAAGCGGCAAATTTAAAAATGACTCCTGTTCAATGTTTTTTTCAAACTTCTTTGTAAACCGGGTTGCATATTTCTAAAGTAAAATATACTAAAGTCTTCATAAATTTTAACACTATATTGGGGGTGATTCATAGTCAAATAATCTTACTGTATATAATATAATCGTCTTCTTTACGTCAAGACGAATCGATTAGTATATATAAAGTATATGTTACACCTAAAATGTATTACAATTTTTTTAATTTTTCCAAAAATTTAATGAATTTAAATCTATTTTTAACTCGAAATGTTTTAAATCAATTAATTGAATTAGAAAAATTCATAGCTTCCTATGATGTTTATGAATGCAAAATGTTTATGAAATAAACATAAAGGATCCCCTCCGATCCTGACCTTTTTCAGAAAAAAATCTTACTTATTTAAAAATTTTATTTTTTACCATTTTTGTAAAATATGTAGATTATAATTAAACATGTTTTAAAATTACAAAATGAAAAATTATTGATTTTTGTTTTTAAAATAACCCTTAGTTGACGGTAACGTTCAAGTATGTTTAAAAATGAATCAAAATAAAATAAAATTTATTTCACCTCGAATTCGGCATGCCTCAAAACATCTTCAGCTCGCATTCTATTCAAAATAAATTCTGCTTCATTAGAAACTCGAACTATATGCTCCTTCATTGCACATGACAGAAGTCTGCAAATAATAATTTGTTTGTTAATAACATATCTCATTATATTATTATACACAAGTGTAAATATCAAAATGAGCAAATAATTATTTTTGATACGAGTAATTAGAAATTTTTATTTACCTTCCTTCATTTATAAGTTCAATGAATGCGAGGCCTGCATTTTTCTGTAATGAATTTTGCCATTCCTGAGAGCATAACAACATCACAAGCTCCACAACTGAATTGCTATTTTTAAATGTCGTTAATCCTGAAAAGAAAATTAATGTTTAACAATAAATTAATCATTATATATTTTATTTATATTAATAATTTCAACACATCTCTACTAATAAACAAAAATAACAATTTGATAAATTATATATAGTCAATTTAGTACAGTGAAGATAAGAGAACTTGTAATTATTTAAAAAGCATCAGTCGATTTATCCCATAGATGTTGAATACAAATATGTTGAAACTTAACACAACATGATCATTATTCCAAACCAACTGAATTTTAAATCCAATGTATTGATATGCACACAACCCGCATACTAATTACTATAGAAAAGATTACTCGGAACCGTGAATATCATCAGAACATTAATGGCGATTATATTGTTTGTGTGAAACCATTCATATAGTTATTTTTTGATTACATTAGTTTTAGTAAGAAACGTAGTAGTAAATAAAATTTAAAAAAATATTTAACAAAATTCTAAGAGTCGATTATATACTTAATCAATTTTCAATTTTTTGAGCAACATTAGATCTGCCACTAATCATTGTAAAATTTTGTTAAAATGTGACTTAGTAGGTTTAAATACACACTAACAGAATGAAAGAATTATTTTAATGGTATTTTTAGAATTCCTATAATTTAAAACGAAAAATTATGCATGAATTTTTAAGTTCTAAGTAATGTCAAATTTTATTAATATAGATTTTTCAGAGATTTTTTCTCTCTCTTAATATAATGTTTATTTAAACTTATGATATATAGATCGGGCGGTGAAGCGCCTTGGTTTGCGATCACTGGGGTTAGGCACATACTTGGATGCGGTGATTTCGAATTGCGTGCGATTTTTCAGGTATGATCCTTTTTTGTTCGAATTGTGTTCCGATCGGTCCCTCTCTGTGTTTGAATTGCGTGCCGTTTCCTTCGCCTTCGTAGCTAGGCGCAAAGAGCTATTGCTGCTTTTATTCATTTATTTATTTAAAAAATGATAAAGGATTATTGTATTACTGCTGCCAGTCCTAAGCTTGGATAGGGTTTCTACAAATTTCTCTTCGCGAAATTCCATGATTTTTCCATGATTTCCAGGTAATAAATGATAAAATTTCTATGATACTTTAAAACTCACTATAAATATAAATAATGACGAATTTAAATACTGAAAATGGATATAATTTTCAACGAACGTGTAAATTCGAGTCTTAGATTATGGAATTAAAAAAATTCCATGAAATTTCTGTAATTCCATGATCTAAATTGAATTTCCATGTTTTCCATGATTTGTAGAAACCCTGCTAGATAAGGATAACGCCAAATAACCTTGCAAAACGCAAACTGAGAATCTATTTTGCGTTGGCTTGAAGAGGGCAAAGGGAAATATGTAACGTAAAATGAGATATATATATATATATATATATATATATAGGACAACGACCACCGCACGCAATACGACTATATTAGGGTTACCCATGGCACGCTTATCACATTTTTATACACATTAAAATCCCTAACGCTCGCAGGGGGATTCGAACCCAAGCCTATCTTAATCTAACGCACCGAAGTCTAATCCGCTAACCACTACGCTATTCGCTCGCTTGAGTACTTGAGCAAAACAATGCTGATATAAATTACTGAAAACAAATTTTTTGATTATTGAATGTTTTGATTATTTGTATTTATTTATTTTGATTAATATTTATAAATAATATATATGGTATAATTATTATTTCTAATTCTACAAAATTAATTGAAAAATATTTATGAAAAATTTATATAAAAAACAAAATTAATGTATCATGTAAATATAGCATATATATAGCTATATAATATATAGCATATTAAAAAAACAATTATCAATAAAAACAAAATTAATTTAAATAAAACAATAAATTTTAACCGTATAAATTTTTTATATTTAATTAATCATTTCGATTACTTTTCAATTAATTAAATTTCTTATTGAATTAACAGAAATCACAATACTTTTTTCTTTAAAAGGAAAAAGTGAATAATTTTTGAAAAGGTAAATGGATAAATTAAATTTTTATGCAGTTGAAATTTCATATAGTAAATTTTTTGCAAATTAAAATTGAATATATATATATATATATATATATATATATATATATGTTAAATTTTAAATTAAAGTTGAATTTAATTAAATTTTAAAGTCTTAAAGCTCATGAACTTAAGTATAATAAATGTAACATTTTTTCAAATTAATTATTTAATTAATTAAGTTTCACAAATTAATTTTGTTTTTATTGATAACTTTTTTTTAATATACTCTCTAAAATTTAAAAACAAAATATTTACGTGATGAATTACTTTTGTTTTTTATATAAATATTTCATAAATATTCGATTTATTATCTAAGAAATTTCTGGACAATTATTATTAATAAATTGTGACGTCCCGGTATGTGAAAACCTCACACTTTTCTTTTTGAAATTTGTCTTAGGATGAGGGATGCAGAATGTCCTAATTTAAGATGTAATTATATTTTAATTATGTATCCTCGGAATTAATATTTGGTTCAGGATAGGATCTAATCTCCGTTTCGTTAATATACCGTTTTACTTTAACTTTTATATTCATTGAAATTTTATCTTGTCAACTTGTATTCTTTTTAAACTTATTAATTTTATAATTTTACCCTTCTGGTTTATTGATTTTATAGCTATCAATAAAATTTTTAATTGTTCTTATATGTGAATTTTTGTATTAATGTGTGTGGCAATCAAGTTGTATTGAATTTGTGTGGTGTGCTTTGAATATGTGTGTGTGGTGTGTGTGAGTTTAAGAATGGAGATGAAATGACAAATATTATATATAATATGATTCGTAGATTTCTTCGGATCATTCTCCGAAGAATCCCGTAGTTCACCGAAATTTCAGCGAAGTATTGCTGGATAATGTGAATCAGAATAATCGTTCATTTGTAATTATTCTCTGCGTGGTTGCTGAGGTTCGCCGCTATATATATCTCGCCGAGAATTTATAGAGTGGCGGTTTGAATGGGCGGTTAAATCTATTTATATGAAGAATCCTATAAAATTATGTGATATACAACAACATATCTTCTAATCCCTCTATAGAAAATCTATAGATTAGAATTGATAAACCAAAAGTTACTCTGGAATTTCTGCAGTTCACCATATCAATTATATATATAAAATAAAAGGATTTTCATCACATAAACCCCAACACCGGAAGCAGCAACCACGTGGTAAAGTTTACAGGTTGGTTAAAAAAAAGGAAAGATTTTACCTAAGGGCCATTTACAGGGCAGTTTACCACCGCCGCTTTACTTATTATCTTTTAATACAGTGTTTAGAATGCATGAAATACGCACCGAAAACGATAGGAATTAAACACAAATTATATCGAATGAAATAAGTTATATTAAAAAAAAAAATTTGACAGCGGTGGGATTCGAACCCACGCCCTTTCGGACTGGTGCCTAAAACCAGCGCCTTAGACCGCTCGGCCACGCTGCCTCAAAGTTTTTTTTTTTTTTTCGACAGTCTCATTGAAGCATTCGAAGTGAACGCATCACTGACGCTTATCTCCGTGAAAAATTCACCCTTATTTTAGTACTATGATTAAGAAATTCCCTCCTTAATCATATGAAAGTGATAGTGATGAGCCCAATAAGTGCCCCTTGTGATAGTGACACCGCCTTTGGTCGGTGAGTGCTAGTGGTATATTGTTTTTGTTTTTACACTATAGACAACAGTGCATAGTGAAAAAGTGAACACAATGAATGCGTCAAAAGGAGGAAACTCCCCCCAAGAAAGAAGGGAGAAAGCCCAAATGAGAAAAACAATGAAAGAGCTAAATATAATTTCCAATTCAATTGGATTAGAAAAAATATTTAATAAGGGAAAAATAGCGCCTCCCCCCAATTTTAACTCAATTAGAAAAACAAGCCAAAACTCGGCGTCACAACCGACGCCAAGCACCTCGAGCCGACGCACACAAGCGCACACGGACACAGATGCAGAGGGATTCACGCGCCCCTCCAAACTCTCCAAGCGTAAGCATGAGACCAGCGATGACGACATCGCCACAACAAATAGATACGACGCCCTCTCAAGCAACAATGATACACTTATGGAAGAAGACACCCCCATACCGACTGAAAACACATACAATATCAAAGAAAAAACAAAAATTAAACCACCACCAATACATGTCAAAGAGTCAAATATAAAAATATTAATAGAACTCTTTAAAAACGACATAAATAAATCCAGTTATGCATTAAAGCAAACAAATTTTGATGTAATCAGTATCTTATGCAATACGCAAGATACTTACCAAAAAATAATTGAAATACTAAAACTCAATAACGTGAACTTCTTCACGTATACACCACGTTATCTTAAAACTAAAACAATAGTTTTAAAAGGAGTACGAGGTTCATTCACAGAGGATGAAGTAAAAGAAGACATCACTAACCTCAGAATCCAAGATATAACAGTGTCAAATGTCACAAAATTAATTTTCAACAAAAATGAACCAGAAAAGCACCATTTTATTATACACCTTACCAATGAGAGCAATGTCAAAAACTTAATAACGATAAAAACAATCTTGTACCAAAAAATAAAATGGGAAAAACTACGCAGAAAACCCATCTTTCAATGTAAAAAATGCCAAAGAATAGGTCATGCAAGCTCAAACTGCCAATTGCAATACAGATGTGTTAAATGTGCAGGAAACCACAACCCGGGAGAATGCCCCATTCAAAAGAATTCATCTACTGCAAATTTAAAATGTGCAAATTGCAATGAAATGGGACATCCTGCTTCTTATAAAGGTTGCCCATTCATCAAAGCAGCCTTAAATCTCAAGAAACAATACAACCAAACTAAATTAGAAACAACACACAGAAGAACAATGCAAAGAAGCAACCCCATGCAAAATACTACTTTCATAAAAACCAATAACTTTGTAGACCCGAATATCTCATACAGAAATATCCTAACAAACTCAACCACAAATACAGTGCAAAACGTGACTAATCA